GAGGTCTGATAAGCTCACTTCTTTCAAACTCCAAAGCCCCAATTTTTTTCAATTTCCAGACTTGTAGTCTTCTTACTTTAGGCAATATACTGCACAGCTCCCCTCTGAGCCACAAAAGGTTTTATACAACTCAGTAGCACCGAGATATCATCAAAACAGACTTTGATATGTAAAATCGGAGGAGTTCCCTTTAACAGGAAACTCAGCAGTGACTGTAACTAGATGTTTTTCACAGCAGATATTTTTGGCATGTGATAGTAGGGAAAGCACAGGTGTAATCAATAAAACCGATAACGGCGCATTCCATTGAGATTAGCAGCTTTCCTGCGTGTTGGTTCACAGGAATCGTTAAGGTTATTGGTTTCACCTGTGCTCTTCCTGCCACGACAAGCCAAAATGCGTCCTGGGATAAAAGTTCTATTCTCAGCTCTGGATGGCAAATTTGCGAGCAAGTCTGAACAGCTAACAACACGCATCGCCCCCGACAAAACAAGAGTCTCCAAGTGAAAACATACATTACATCAAGTTATGTTAATTACATTACACTTTGTTACAGTCTAGTTTTGAGTTTATGAGTAGGCTGCTTACCTCAACAAGGCCTTTTCTCTCCTCCAGTGCTGCTCTGCCTGAAGATGATGGCTTCTCCATGGGCTCAGCACCACACCTAGCGCACACACACACACACACACACTTAGCTTTTACAACATTGTTATTAAGTGCTTCACAGTCAGTAGTTTGGCCCTCAAACTGCTGCTCTTCTGAAGCAGCCAGGGGTTACATGCCTTTTGGTTAAAAAAAAAAGAAGGTGCACCAGAAGCTGCTGAGGATGGGGACAGCACTGCACATTGACAATCTGTCCTTTCACTGACTGTAATGATAGCAGAGCACATTAAACAGAGGACAGTTAAACCATAAGAGTTTGCATATGAGACAGAAAGACGATAATCAGGCATACAGCAAGATCAACTTCACTGTATTCAAATGACACTACTGGGATGACATTTTAGGGCACCAAATTCACGTCTGAACCAAACCTACCTAACAACCGAACCAATGTTTGTTTTAGCATTGATTTTATCTCTCAAAGTCTCGTTGGCAGGAAAGACGGTGACATGAGTTGCCTGGTGAGTGTGAAAGATAAGAGTAAAACAGACGACAGTTTTTACTCTTGTGTAATACGGATTGGGAAGTAACTGCCGTGGCGATGCATGCATGACAACTAAAAATGTTAACTATTAACACAAAGCGATAAGGCCAGACTGTAATCTTACCTACAAACTTAACGCTGTGTAGAAGAAACGCCAACATTTACTAGGGCACCTAAATTGATGTTGGCACCTTCGCACATTTCAAAGCCAGCGAAACTAATCATAGCCCTCCCTTATCCTGCTATTATCCACAGCAAACACAGAGCAGCACACACCCTTACTAACTACTATCCACACTGAGGGATTCCTTCATGCACTTATACTTCATGAGAAAACGCACTTAAGTATGGCCTCCGTTGCAATCTCATATCGATTAAAGAGACTGGTGAGTCCCTTCGTGGCATGATATTGATAAGAGGCTAAGTGATGGATCCTGTTATGATGGGATACATTTCCGAGTGTGCCAGGTATACACACAGATACAGCAATGCAGTGAAAGCCCCAGAGTTTACTTGCTCTCTTTGGGGGGAACTCCATACATTAAAGCTATGGCGTGCTGATGATGCACTCGGCCTCATGAATGGACTTGAACTGCACACTACACACAGACAGTGGGACAACAATGGAGCTCTGTGGATGACAACCAAACAAAGATCCATGTAGCCAGCCAGCGTGGCTGATGTGGACATTTTAGCAACAAACACAACCTGAAGTCAAGAGTTTCTCCCTGTAGTCAAGTTCAATTAAATCCTCCTGTTGAGTTATCACAGGGTATTCTCCAATTTATTTGAGGAAAAACACAAGTCGTACACTATTTGTGAAGTCAATGGCTGATAATCACATTTCCCACATGAAAACAGTTAAGAGTGAGCAAACACATTAATAATATTGCTCTTATCGTGACAATATCACATGCAAGTCTAAACATGAATTAGTTTAATCCCTGGGATACTGACTGCAAAACCATGTATTTAACTTAATATCTTAAAGACTTCTTTAACTATTTCCTGTTTAAAATGTGTAAAGAGGCATTGACACAGACAGGAAAGACAGCAGAACACCCCTGACAGACACAGCCTATAGTATTCACTTATTTTCTTTACACTTAAGAAATATAGTGATAAACTATAGTGTATTTTAACAGGAGAACTAGCCCAGCCTGAAGGTGTCCCTTGGGGGATAAAATAGTGATAGCATAACACAGATTAAAATCCCCCAGTGTGCCATAAGGCCACCGTACATTCACTGTCGAGCACCACAAGCGTCGTTACGGACAACAAAACACGCCAGTTGTTACTATTTTTAGACAACTTACCTGAAAACTTGAACGCAACAAAAAACCACCGGTTGTTTTCTTTAGCGAGGAGACATATTTGTTGCATTTGCGTTAGCCATATACTGTGTTAATGCGAACTGGGTAACATTATTAAGAGCTATACGCTTCCCTGAGCATTCCCAGTTACAGTCTGCATCAATACAACGTGTCTTTTTGAGACAGCAGCGAGTGGAAACTTAAAGGCAACGGTGAAATGCTGCTGGAAAAGATGTGTTTCAGCGACAGGAGTTTGAAATGCAGCAGGACGGTGAGGTTCATTAGTCGGCACCAGCTCGGTTTCTGTGACGTCGGTGCAAAATCCTCTGATCACGTGACATGACCGCCCGAGAGACTCTCGCTAAAGACTGCGGGCTGAAATCAAATCAATGAACTAAACACACATTAGGATGGAAACTAAAGAGAAACCATTAGTATTCAGTACAATGATAAGACTCTTACTTAAAAAGTATTTCTAAATTTGTCTTCTTGTTTTTTGTTGTTGTTTTTTTTTTATTTATTGCTGGAACTAGTCCAGGTAAGTTTACTATTGTTGTTATATTCTTTTATACTTCATCATTTGGTCATGAACATTTACAATAATAATAATAATAATAATAATAATAATAATAATACTAATAATAATAATAATGAAATAATAATAATAATGAAATAATAATAATAATAATAATAATAAGGTAAATGAGTAAGATAAGAAAAGTAGGTGAGTGATTGATTTATTTTCTTTAATATATTTTGTATTGCTTATTATTTCATTTGTCTCCTTATTTATTTAATTAAGTTTATCCAGTTTGTTATCAATATATTTTTTACTCTCTTAATTAGTTCATTATTTCATTGTTTATTCATTAATATAATTTTGACACATCTAGTCCAAATAGCTGAACTCAAAGGAAATGAAATGTGTAGCCTATTCTGTATATTAAACATTTAAAGGTTAGGACTGTATTACAGTCTGAGTCCTTGTTTCATCCACCTGACATGGATAGCGCTGACAATGAGGCTCAAATGAATTAAAGCATGACATTACCATGTTCAATTATTTACTTTTTTTTTTTAATTAAATAATAATTCGTACCCATTTTCCCTCACTGCTAAAGGCATTTTATGTTTGCATGTGTCTAACTTCTTTTGCATGTCACCACTGTGTGAAAGATGAAAAACTCACTGTTGGGCCACATTTCTACTTAAATAAGATAACGGACTTACATTTGAATACATTTACAGATAACTGAGAAAATGAACGGCTCAAACCCAATACAAACACAATGCTCCCATGATCACTCTTTGTCTGGAGGATTTTTTACACTACTAACACCAACACACATTGTAGACTTACCTTGAAGTCCTGCTCCTGACGAGGGACCCCTGGAGGGATTTGAACCCGAGCAGACAAACTATATTAAGTCGCCCAGTGTATTTACTAAACTTACAGCTACATGCGGACAACACACGTACAGACCTGTACAACACTGTGTCCATTCTAACTTCTCTTTGTATTCGACCATATTTGGTTGGGAGTTTTGGTAAAGAGCAGCCAGAGGACACACAGTTGAGTATGTGTTCAGGGAAGTTGTTCAGTGTCCGGGTAGCAAGTGTTGTTTGAGCTTCCTGCCAGATGCTTTCAGGGACTCTCGGAAATCTGATAATCACACACTGGCTTTAAGGAGCAATTAAGTTTTTAATAAACTTCAGATACAAAAACATTTAGATGAAGATAGGTGATTTTCTTAATCATAAAAACAGCTGTTCTATCAAATCTGGAAATGTTTCATAGCGGTTTTGTATATTGTGGAGCTGCTGTATGCATCCACTGAATGTTGGCGTGAGCTAAGGTTTATGGTGATGCTTTAGTAGTCTAAATGTTCAGTTACTTGGATCTGGACAGGAAATGACCCCTTTTCATTTAAGCGAGTACAGACTTCATGCTTACAATAACTAAGAAAAACAATCATGCAGCCACAGCAACAGCTGACGTGCTATGAACCCGTTTTTAAAACCATTTAACACCAATAGTTATCCAGTATATGCACATCTGGACTGTCGGTGTGAAAATGTCACCTGCTTTTTCTCGTGCACAATACTGTCAATTTTCTCCCAATTACTTTTTACTAGTATTACTGGTTGCAGTAGAACACCTGTATTTCCATCACGTTTTATGAATCACATCCGAATGGTTACAGCAGAATAAACGTACACAAGCGATACTGAAAGGACATTTACTTTACATAGAAAACCACAAGATCAGTAAAAAACAAACAAATTAGCTATTCACATTGAAAATGGCGTGAATAATATGGGGATGCTTCTGTGATTCTGGCTGAGCAGACCTCTGCTCATGGTTATATCACAGGGAATCAATTACATCAAGACGACAGGACAAAACCTGTTATAAAAACTAATCAGAAAAATACAGACTTTTGTTATTTTACCTCACAGCCCACTGATCCAGCAATGTTATGGTACAAATGACGACAGAGAGAACCAAACAAAATCCTTTTTTCCAGTCACAAGACAGCTGACAACACCCCCAAAGTTCTGATTATCATTTTTCAGTGCTGTAATAATGGGTCTTATGTCTTCTCTGGGCTATTTAATATTGATTGTTCATGGTAAACAAAAGCATACAATTAAAAAAAATGTTATCAAAAAATATTTCACAACAATTCCTGTTTCTTTTTTTAATCGGTTATATGGTTAGGAACACAAAAATAGGCAGGTTGTGCCCTGCTTTAACAATCATGTCCGTGTGTGTGTGTGTGTGTGTGTGTGTGTTGTGTGTGTGTGTGTGTGTGTGTGTGTGTGTTTGTGTCCATTTCTCAAGTGCTCCTTGTGATCTCCATCCTCCTCCCAGTTTCCTGATCTCTGCCTTCCAGGTGGTTGATGTTCTCTCTGCTGGCTTTCATTTGTCTTTCAGCTCTGTGATCTCTGGATGGTTCTCTCTTTCCGCTGTTCCATTTTCTCCTTGGTCCTCTGCTTCCGCAGATCAGCTGACTGCAGTTAAGTGCAGGGAGACACACACAAGCATGAAGACAGTGATTCCAAACTACTGTATGTGAATGCTGCTCTTTTGTACAGAGGCACAAACTGTATAACACACCGCACACACACAACACACAACACCAGACCACACACACACACACACGTGTCTTGTGTTTCTATGTGCATTGTGTGTGTACATACATTCTGTCTCATGCTTGTATGCTCCGAGGGTCAGTTGTCTTGATGTGGTCAGTAGCTGCTGCATCATGGCTGTGGGATCCTGGAAGATCTGAAAATTACAAAGAAAATTCAATAAATTCAAAGGGTAATCAATATGCAATT